GAAGCAGACGCCGACAACACGGAGTCCACCATCGAGCAGGTGGCCGCGATCCCGCAGACCGTCTATGTCCTGGACTGTCCTGCGTCCGACGAGGACACCACTTCCATGACCCTGGTCCGTACGATGGGCGGCCTGATCGCGGCGTTCAAGCTGAACGGCAAGAGCATCATCCTCGAAGAGCCGAGCCCTGAATCTGGAATGCAGGGGTCCACCTTCTGGCCAAGCCCGCAGAGCCTGTTCGACTGGCCTCCGCCCCCGACCATCAGTGGCGGCACAGAGGGTGACGGCGAGACCGGCCGATCTGCTGAGGGCGGCGGCACTTACGACGTGCAAGTGGACGACGCCAAGCAGTCGGTGGTCCTCACCAGCCAGCCGGACCCCGACCTCGGAGTGAGGGTGGTGAAAAACGTCTCGTGCGACGCGGAGCGGCAAGCCATGGTTGTCCGTTACACGATGGAGAAAGTGGATACAGCCGCAAACTTAAGCTTGGCTGGGTGGGAGAAGACCAATTTGCCGGCCGGTGCGCTCATCTTCTGGGACCATGGTGATGCTGAGACGGTCACCCGCATTGACGACATGTCGAACAAGACGTCTCAGACCTTGGATGTGGATGGCGACACTTTTTACTTCGACCATTCGAACGATGACGTTCACGAGGGTGGTACCAAGATAGCTTCCAACACAACTTCCTCTTGGATCGCGGCTGTTCGGGACGATCTTATGTTTGTGAAGGTATTCAAGTCGGTCCCACTGGACAAAGTGGCCCCTGGCGAGGGTGACGTTGCTGTTTTCGCGAGGCCTTCGTTTTCCTCCCTGGAGAACCAGGGCGCCTACGGGGCGGTTGAGAAGGGAAAGCCTTCAGTGTACGTCGTGTGCTGGTACGCGCGCAAGCTCCCCGATGGGGCCCAGGCGTCGAAAGATGACGAGAAGATGTTGGATGCAGTCCGTGAGGTGGCGAAGTTGGGTTGCCCAGAGAAGTGAGCATCGATCCTCGAGGAGCGCCCTGGTGACAATTTTGCACAAGGTTCGAACAAAGAACGTTGAACATAAGCTTTCTGAGGTCCAAGCGGATTTCTTGGATCGGCGCAGGACACCCCTGGCGGCGCCGCGGGCACCGCTCTTGGCGCGCCCTGCGCGCCAGGGAAATAGGCGCGGACTTTTTTCTAGGCTGGAAGGGGAGCCCGGAGCAAGTGAAGGTTGGCCCGGCATCTTTAAGAGGGCCAGCCCAAATCAGCTCGAAGCGGGTCAGATGGGGCGCGAGTTTAGATATCGGGCATTCGTTTGAGTGGTTAGTGTTTCCCACGAGGACGATGCCCGCACGTTTTAATCAGGATGCCAGAGACCCTGCGCCAGCAAGCCGCGCCTCTCGTTATGAATATACTTCGGTAGCTGGAAGAGCATAGAGAAAGAAAGAAACAATTAGCCTGGCGAAGGACCCAACCAGATGCAGTTGTGAGTACCGTCTTTGTGAGCAACGCAGTCGGTGGGGTTCCCTATGGGGCCACGAAATGCTGTCCTGGGCGGGGAGACGCATGCGAATGCAGCCACTGGGGCCTTCGGTGGAGCTCCCCATGGGGCCACGAAGCGCTGTGCTGGGTGGGGGAGACGCATGCGAACGTCCCCTATTGCGACCTTCGGTGGAGCTCCCTATGGGGCCACGAAGCGTTGTCCTGGGTGGGGGAGACGCATGCGAACACCCCCAGTGGGGCCTTCGGTGGAGCTCCCTATGGAGCCACGAAACGCTGTCCTGGGCGGGGGAGACGCATGCGAACACCCCGATTGAGGCGTTCGGTGGAGCCCCCTATGGGGCCACGAAGCGCTGTCCTGGGCGGGGGAGACGCATGCGAAGACCCCGATGGAAGCCTTCGGTGAAGCTCCCAGGGGCCGCGAAATATTGTCTTGGGTGGGGGAGACGCATGCGAACACCCCTGCTGGGGCCTTCGGTGAAGCTCCCTATGGAGCCACGAAGCGCTGTCCTGGGTGGGGGAGACGCATGCGAACACCCCCAGTGGGGCCGTCGGTGGAGCTCCCTATGGAGCCACGAAACGGTGAAGCGGTGTCCTGGGTGGGGGAGACGCATGCGAACACCCCGATTCTGGCCTTCTGTGAAGCTCCCTATGGGGCCACGAAGCGTTGTCCTGGGTGGGGGTGACGCATGCGAACACCCCCACAGGGGCTTTCGGTGGAGCTCCCTATTGGACCACGAAACGCTGTCCTGGGCGGGGGAGACGCATGCGAACACCCCGATGGAAGCCTTCGGTGAAGCTCCCTGGGGCCGCGAAATATTGTCTTTGGGTGGGGGAGACGCATGCGAACACCCGTACTGGGGCCTACGGTGAAGCTCACAATGGGACCACGAACTAATGTTTTGGGTGGGGGAGACGCATGCGAACACCCCCAGTGGGGCCTTCGGTGGAGCTCCTTATGGAGCCACGAAACGCTGTCCTGGGTGGGGGGGACGCATGCGAACACCCTGATTCTGGCCTTCGGTGGAGCTCCCTATGGGGCCACGAAGCGCCCCAGTGGGGCCTTCGGTGGAGCTCCATATGGGACCACGAAACGTTGTCCTGGGCGGGGGAGACGCATGCGAACACCCCCACAGGGGCCTTCGGTGGAGCTCCCTATGGAGCCACGAAGCGCTGTCCTGGGTGGGGGAGACGCATGCGAACACCGCCACTGTGGCCTTAGGTGGGGCTCCCTGTGGGGCCGCGAAACGTGTGAGGGGTGTGACGACATGGGCGGTGGGGACGATGATGGTGACGATGATGAGGAGGATGTGGATGAGGATGATGCTGCAGATGATGATGCTGATGGATGATGGGTGACGGTGATGGTGGTGACGATGGTGTAGGGAGAGGGAGGGGATGATGATGCTGATGATGATGATGATGATGATGATGATGATGATGATGATGATGATGCTGATGCTGATGCTGATGATGATGCTGATGCTGATGATGATGATGATGATGATGATGATGATGATGATGATGGTGATGGTGATGATGATGATGATGATGATGATGATGATGATGATGATGATGATGATGATGATGATGATGATGATGGTGGTGGGAGGGGATGAGGAGGAGGAGGATGAGGAGGACGAGGAGGAGGAGGAAGAGTAGGAGGAGGAGGAGGAGGAGGAGGAGGAAAAGGAGGAGGAAAAGGAGGAGGAGGAGGAGGAGGAGAGGAGAGGAGAGGAGAGGAGAGGAGAGGAGAGGAGAGGAGAGGAACGCGGGGCGCTGTCTCTTCAAAACGAGGACCCAACACCACAGGATGGTTGGGCAAAACGGCCCAAAGGCCTTCAAGACCAATCCAAGATAGCCCAAGACAGCCCGAGAGGGCACCAAGACGGCCCCAAGGGGGGCCCAAGAGGGGTAATGTGGATACTGGCCTCTCGTACCGTTCTAGGTTTAGCATTTGTAATTTCTTCGCAAAGGCCCTTCGAGATCTCGTGGGGGCTCAATGGGATTTGCGATCCAGATTCCTGTTTTGGCTCAAGTGGAAAAGCATTCGCTGCCGCTCCTGCTGCCACAGTTGGTAGCGGAACGGTGTGGGCCCAGGGCCACGGGCGTTCGCCCGCGCGTGATAGGGCGCGCCGGCGACGACGCTCACAGGCTCTGAGGGAACGCGCCGTCTCCGGAGAGCCATTGTGTGTATGTGGGAGATCCACGGATGTTGGGCGATGAGACCTTCGCCGTGCTGCCAGGGGCCCCTGCCGCAGGAGCAGACGCTGGGCGGCCGGCAGCAGGAGCAGTGACAGCGCCAGGAGCCGCAGCAGCTGGGTCGGAGGCTGGAGCAGCGGAGATGAGGGACAACGTGAAGTCAGTACTGCGAGAAGTACTAGCTGAGCGAGACTCTGCCTGCTACGGGGGCCTCGGGTTCAGCCGCTGCAGACCCCTGGCAAGAGAGTGATCCCTGGACCAGGGATCCGACGACATCTCAGCCAGCTCAGCCAGACAAGTGGTGGAAGGTTAACACCTGGTACCACGACTGGGACGACGCCAAGCATCAGAACAGTTCATGGCAAGGAGGGTGGTGGTCAGGAAAGGGTGACTACTCGGATCCCCCCAGCTGGCCAGGCTGGCATAATTCTCGCAATTGGAAGCGCGCAGTGGAGCGCTGGAACAGATACACCGACGTCCCGTTGTGGAAGCGCCACGAGAAATTCTTCAAGCTCTTCGACTGGTCCACGCAGGAGAAGTTTGAAGATAATCCCGACTTTGAGCTGGAGAGTTCTAGATGGCTGGAGCTTCTATTCGGGCGCCTCGACCGAATGATTGGTGAACGTGAAGGAGATGATCTGCGACGCATTGGTCGCAAAGCATTGTTCGAGAACAATCGTCACGCCAAGGGATCCCTCCAGGCATCCGTCGACCGAAGGGAGCGACAATTCAGAGAAGCAGAGGGTAGCGACCGTTGGATCTCGAACAAGTTCGAAGGGTTCACGATGGAAGAGGGTGCGGCGCTGTCTGGACAAGGAATGCAGAACCTTCGGACGCTGACGCGCGGAGACCTCAACTTCGCCAGCGCGTGCTGGGCCTTGAGACAGCTGGATTATACGACTTCTGAGCGTCTGCTGCCAGGTCGCTCGACGCGCGCCGTTTTTCCAGCCGCAGGTCCGACAGAGACCGAAGGCGCCGCAGCAGACCCCTCTCACTCCTTTCCCCTTTCCTCTCGGCCCCCTGGTCTGGCAGAGCGAGAGCCAGACGACGACGACCCGGAAGACTCCGACGAGGATTCCGAGGGCTACGCATCGGCCGACGTTGCCCTGGTCCTGGCCGAGCTGGAGGAGTTGGACGGGGAACGCGCCGAGCCCTACCTCGCTGGAGTACGGGGACGCACGCGGGAGGAGAACAAGGATTTCGGGAGCTGCCAAGCGTGATCGGGAGTTCTGCGGCAGCGGGAAGGATCGGCTGCCTGGGGCGAGGGGCTCTCGGGCCCCCCCGCCCCCCTCGGCTTCGAAGGGGCGCGGCCGTGGCCGAGGCCGAGGTCGCGGGCAGCCCCGGCGGCGCAAGTTCGCCGGAGTCCCCATCGAAGAGGTGATCAAAGTGACCAGGTGCCGAATCTGCGACGAGAAGGGCCACTGGGTCGAGGGGGTGTCCGAAGCGCTCGGCCACCGAGAAGGATCGCCAGATGGTCTCCTACTCCTTCTCTGGCTGCGGGGCGGAGCCCCCGTCGGAGTTGCTGGCGACGCAGAAGGAAGTCAAGGGGCATATCCACGAGATCTACCTCGTGTCGAGACCCACTCAGGGACTCGTGGATCCGGGCGCTGGCAGCGATCTCGTGGGCAGAGACTCGCTGAATCGTGAAGCAGTCGAGCTGGCGCGCCTAGGACTCACCTACGTGGTGGTACCTGGGGCATCGGGCACGGCGGCAGACCCATGGAGTCGGCGGCGCTGCGAAGCCCATCGCTACTATCCTCTCCCCCATGACCCTGGGAGGCATCGCGGGAGCGATCGAGGCGACCGTGCTGGAGGAGGACGTGCCACACATCATCAGTGCGAGCCTGCTCGACTTCCTGGGATGCGCGATCGACACGCCAGGGAACAGCACGCGGGTGCAGAGGCTCGAGCTCGCAGTCCCTCTCGCCATGTTGGCGTCGGGACATAGGATGGCGGATGTAGTTTCGCCGCTGCGAGCTCGCCCTCGAGCTCCCGCCAGTGCACTGTTGGCCTATCCTTTCTTGACGGCCAATGCTTTCTGCCTAGCCGCGGGGCAGCGCCCGCTAGAGATGAGCCCGGGTGGGCCCATCCGGGAGGCCGCCAGGTACATCATCACCTTCATCTGCGTCATCATGCTCCCCCCGATCCTTGTCGCGGATATCATCCACATTCTGTCGCGCGAGGTCTTGGGGAACCTAGAGGGCACCCAGGATAATATCATTACTCTTGCCCAGGTTTTGGGGAACCTAGAGGGCGCCCTGGAGAACATCATCACCATCTGTCAGAAGAGACTAGCAGAGGGGAAACAGATAACGGCGACGCGACATGGACAAGTCCAGGCCTTAGCGACCATTAGACATCGGGTTAGGCACAGCCCTCCGATCCCGAGAACGACGATTCCGATCCGATCGAGGCCTCGGCAGGCCGAGGGCATGCCCCGATCAGGCCCCAAGGAGATCCCCACCAGGCCCAAGAGGGAACCCTTGAAGGCACCACGATTCAAAAATCAGCTCACAATCAATGGCTGCTTTCCGCAACCATCTTGGATCAAGCCATTCAGAGATTACGACTCACCCAGATCGATCTCAGATCTCTCACGCACTCAGAGCACGAGGGCCACGACAGCGTCGTGGCTAGGAGCGGTGGGGCGGTGTCCGACGGCATCGGAGACCTACCCCCCATTCCCGAGGCGGCTCCTCGGAGCCTGGGGCCGAGGCCGAGCCGCCGTCGGCCCGCGCCGGGAGCGTTTCAGATGGCGCAGGCAGCGGCGGCGGAACACCAGCAGCAGCTACACGCGGCGGGCTTGCTGCCAGCCGAGCCGCCGCCGCCGAACTGCCCGCCTCCACGGGGCCCGCCGCCGCCGAACCATCTGCCGCCAGCCAGGACGACGTCGCCGCCACTCAAGACGGCGCCGTCGGGGAAGCCGCCGCCAGTGGGCATCCAGGGCCGGCCGCTGCCGCCCCCGGCCAAGATCCCGCCGCCACCAGCGGTCGGACGACCAGACGAGTCGAGCAGATGCAGCTGGGCGCCACGGCAGCCGAGAACCCGACTCGGGATCTGATTTACCCTCCAACCTGGATGAATTCGACTCATTCTTGAGTGAGTTGACTTCTCACAAGAACCGCTTTTGGCATAGAGGAGGCTTTTCTCCCATGCAACTTGTGTTCGGGTGTAACCTGCGCTTGCCCCGCGAGCTGCTGTCCGACGACGGACTCGGACTTCCAGGGTGGCTGGAAGCGAGTCGACCCGCCTCCGAGCGCGATTCCGCGGGGGCGGAGTTCGCCCGAGCGCAGCATGTCCGAGACCGAGCTTGGGAGCTCGCCATGGAGTCCACTGCTCGGGATCAGATTCAGAAGGCTAGTCGGACCAAACGCCCCCCTGTTAAAATTTTCGCTCTGGGCCAGTGGGTGTTCGTGTGGAGGCGGATGGCTAGAACCAGTTCCCGCCGGGAAACCCTGGGGGTTTGGCGCGACGCCTGGACGGGTCCCAGGGACGTCCTTCTCCAGGAAGGGGAAACGGTGTGGGTCGCGATGCGCTCTCGTTTGTGGAAGTGCTCCACGGGCCAAGTGAGGCCCGCCTCGGCCGAAGAAGAATACGGACTCCAATTGGCCCAGGACCCCAGAGGAAGGATCTCATGGAGCAGGCCAGAAGTGGCCGGGCCTCGGCTGTGGATGCCCTGAGGGAAGGACCACCGCCAGACGACGCCTGGGACAGACCCGACCACATCGGAGGCGAGCCCCGACCTGCCATCCCCAGTCCGCAGGTTCGAGTGGAGAGGAGTCCCGAGGAACTCCAGATTCTGGAAGGAGGAGGTCTAGGCGCCAGGGTGCTGGGATCCTGGCCCAGGAGGGGATCGACTGCCGGGTCGGTCAGGTCAATCGAAGTTCAACCGCCCGCTCGCCTGCCGTCCATCTCTGAGGCAGAGCCCTCAGAAGAAGCTCTGGCCTCCCCTCTCGAAGACTCTGAGGCGGGCAGCGCTGCGGCGGTGGAGCCACCGGGGGCCTCGTCGCCACCGCTGGACCCCCCTCTCTCTCAAGCGCCGGGGGAGGGCCATGGCGAGAGGCCCGGTCTGCCCAGGGCCCCCAAGACTCCTCTGCGACAGCCCGACGACGTTCCGAGCTGCATCCGACGGGCACGAGAGGTCCCCAGGTCGGGGGCAACCAGTCGGGGGGAGAGCGCCCATTCCGAGTCCTCCGACGCCAAGCGGTTGAGATTGGAGCCTCTTCCTGGGCTGGAAGCTCCCGATCCAGGGGCCGCCTCGGACGTCGAGACCGGGAGTTCTGGCCTTGAGAGCCCCCCAGGGCTATCGGGCCCGAGAGATCGAGCGCAGATCGAGCGGGGACAGTCAGTCGAGCCTAGTAGGGGGCGGGGGCGCTCTCCTCGCCGCGGGGACGCCGAGTTCGCTTCTTTCTGGGTGCTTCCTCGTCCCGGCGGCGAGATTCAATTCGAAAGGACGTCAGAACAAGACGAGGTCTTTCTGCGGGCCGAGGAGGAGAGATCGCCCGGTCTAAGCTCACCCCTGCAGAAAGGGCGAAGTTCGTGATTTCAGACGCTTCTGAATTGCGAAACACGGCATCATCGGGCGCCGCGAAGATTATACCTCCCGCGGCTGCCAGAACCATCCGGGAGACGATGCCCGACCGCGTCGTGTCTTTTCGGATGGTGCGGAGATGGGAGCCTCAGGAAGGGACCTTCACAGAGCCGAGTGCCAAGTCCCGCTGGTGCGTGCACGGACAGCAGGATCCCGATACCGGGTCCCTTTCAGTACTTCCCCCAACGCCCCGGACGACCGCGATCATGATGTTCTTGCAAGTCATGATGAACTTCGAGATGGTAGGAGATATTGCAGATGGCAAGAATGCGTTTACCCAGTCCGACCCCATGCAAAGATCGAGCGGACCCATATACGTTGAACCCTGCCACGGAGCTGGGGCGGAGGAGGGGGCTCTCATAGAACTTCTCGTGCGCGTGTGCGGGTCAGACGACGCGCCCGTTTCTTGGAGGCGCACCGTGACGAAGTACCTAGCAGACACTGACTACCGTCTGCGTCTCCTGGAACCCTGCTGGTGGACCACGAGGAGCCAGAAGGGAGAGATCGAGAGCATGATTCTGATAGAGGTGGATGATTTCCTCATAGCCTCGGCCTCTCCTGAGATTCGTGCCCGGACTGGACAACTCTTGGGGGCCCGTTTCAAGTTCGGTAAATAGAAGGACCTACAGGCAGGAGCAGTGGAGTGCGCCGGCAGAAGTCTTACTTATACCCCCACGCGGATCACGGCGGATCAAGAAAAGTATATTTCGGAGGAACTTCGGCCCCGTAACCTGTCCCCAGGATGCTTGGCCCAGAAGGGTACCCCCCTGGAGTCTCCCGGGTTCAAGAGTCTCCGATCTTTGATCTACAAGATCAACTGGGTTGGAAGGGAGACTAGGCCCGAAGCTGCTGGAGTCGCGTCCATCTTGGTCAGTTGTCTGAAGTCTCCCACTGCCTGGGATGTCTCGTGTGCTAACAAGCTGGTTCGACGCTTCAGATCTACGGCCTCGAGGGGCCTGTCGATCTGGAAGTTGGACCCCGCCCGGATGACGTTTCCCACGTTTTTGGACGCTGGGGGAGTCGGCGCTAGCGGGGATCTCCGGGATCTCAGAGGACTCCGGGAGGACCCCGCCCAAGGAGCTTGGATGGTGCTGGCCGCCGACCTTAGTGTGCTGGAGAACAGGGCTGTTCGGTATTCTCTGTTAGGCTGGAGGTCCTCCAAGTTGGGACGCCGGGTTCCGTCCACGCTTGCGGGGGAAACTCAGGCTCTGGCGGCCGCAGTAGCAGAGGTGGAGTTTCTCCAGGTGCTATACAGAGATGCCGTGTATCAAGATGTAGATTTGCCCGAATGTTCTCGGGCCGTATCCCCCTTTACGATTGTTCTCCGCCAAGATTGCCGCCTGGGTCACCGAGAGCGGCAAGTGCATGTTGTCGACGCCAAGAGTGTGTACGACACGCTAGTAAAAGATGGGATGGCTTTCGCTAAGGACAGGCGCGCGGCGCTGGATTTAGCCATCATCTGTGAATATTTAGAGAGGTCTGCCGGGGCCATCCGTTGGGTGCCCCACACCAACATTGATTAAAAACGCTATAACGAAGGTCAACGCCGCGCTGGTTGAGTTAATGGCGTCTGGCGAGCTACTCTTGGTGGACGAGGCCAGCGAGCTCGTCGAACGAAAGGCAGACCCAACCCAGAAGGGACGCTTCCAGGCCACTTCAGCCTTTGTCCTAGCCCGGGCCCGTCAGTAGATCCCCTGGTCCTCGTTCGTCCAAAGTGAGGAAGTCTCAAGGCCTGGCCAGGGGGTCCTCTGATGTCCTCCCTCTCTCTCTCTCTGTCTCTCCTTTTCAGTCCTCTGGTTTTCCGCCGCATGCTGTTGCTTAGTTTCACTAGATGTCCTCGCGATGAAGCAATCTCGAGCCGACAGGGGAGGGAGGGGTGTGAGGACACCCCTGCTAAACCACGTGAACGTTTGACCAGTGAGGATGCTGGCCTCTCGTACCGTTCTAGGTTTAGCATTTGTAGTTTCTTCGCAAGGGCCCCTCGAGATCTCGTGGGGGCTCAATGGGATTTGCGATCCGGATTCCTGTTTGGGCTCAAGTGGAAAAGTATTCGCTGCCGCTCCCGCTGCCACAGTAAGACGAACCGAAAATCCAAGCCTTCCACCCCGAGAGGCTCTCAGGAAGCCCCAGAGGCCCCCAGATAGGACCCAAGAGGCCCTCGAGAAGCTCCCCAGAAGGCCGAAGAGGTTCCAAGAAACCTTCCAAGAAGGCCCGAAGAGGCACAACTCATTGTTTTCCCATCGGTTTTTGATGGATGATAAAGTTCCCAGCCTTTTGGCATCCCGACGCTCCAAGACGGCACAAGTGGCCCCCAAGACCGCTCTAAGACAGCCGAAGAGGCCTCCACGAGGGCCCCAACACAGCCCACGAGGGCCCCAAGACGGTCCCTGAGGCGCCCGAGAGGGCCCCAAGAGGGCCCCAAGAGAGCCCCAAGAAGGGGAACGCGAACCCAACAGCACAGCCTTCCGCCCTAATAGGCCCGCAGGAGGCCCCAAGAGTCCCCAAGTGGTCCGACGAGGCCCCCAAAAGCCCCCCACCAGGCCCCAAAAGGCTCCAGGTGACGTGCACGGGGCCCCAACATAGCCGAGCAGGATTTTGATGCATCAAAATTGCTTCAAG